CAAAGCCCAAAATCTCAACGAGTCTAAGCAAGCAAAGTCTAAGTGAACCTAGCGCGAGACTCTATAGCCAGATGAGTGGCATTCCCAAACCCAACAGAAACTGTCCTAGGAGCAAGAATGCTCTGATACCAACTTAAAACACCCCATCCCGACTACTAAGTCTGAGAGGTTATTCCCACTCGGATCAGTAAGTGATCCAAGCTCATTCAGTCCGTTTTAAGGGTTCATCTTTAAACGAGTTCATTTATCCGATTATTCTGAGATTCATAAGTAATAGAGTCAATATGTAAAGAGATTATACAATAAACTAGATTTTTATTTATATAACAAAGGATTCGATACAATTGCTAGAGTCTGCACTATAGGCTATTACAATGTTCGATAGTCTATCCAGTCTATCACCACCCATCCTTCCTAGCCCTTGTCTCGCGCATCTAGACCAAGTCCTTCCCACGATCACCATCCTTTCCTGAAATCGAAGAGGCGTAAGTAATCCAACTTTTACTTAGTTATACACATTCGTCTATCAATGACTATATGTTCCCATCCCTTAAGATTATCCCGTAAAAATCCTTTAATCATCCAGCTATCTTGGAAAGCTCGAGTTTTCTCTCGGCTGCAGTCAAGTCTTGGCGGATTCTGTCTGATCCCCAAGCCGCTTGCTGGATCCGTGAGTTCCCGAGTTCCCCGGATAGCCGATTCCTTCCAGCCGTACTCAACTATATGCCTTAGTCATAATCGTTCACCGATAACCGTGGTTATTTGGGCAATAGCCAAGATTATCAAGAACAATCCTGACCGACCGTGACAGACTGAAGTCTTAGTCACGCATCCTAGATCCGACCATATAATGATCGATCTATCCACATCGGCAAACAGATATAAGAATATGACCGATGAAAAAGAGAGTTTGGCCGAATAACTGCATAACCGTCCCATACTATCTCAGCTATAGCCGATAGTTAGGGATTATCCCGGCTAAGTTACTCGGCATCGCGCTCACCTTTGTCGTACGTTCGGATGGTTCAGTGCGTTTCTCCCGATCCTTGTCCGCAGAAGACTCCATCGCTGGAACGTCCCTCGGTAAGTTTCTCTCTCGGAGATTTCTTACTTGCAGTCTGGCAATTCCCTCATTACTCGACAATCGCTAAGTACGTCCGGCGTCATCTCTCTTCTCCCTCGGCTAATCTTCTTCTCTCTTGGATATTTTTTGTATTTTCAGAAAAAATCCCGTGAAAGGATTGTATATCCACGAAGAAGATGACCGCGGGCTATTTATCGGATTTTCGCTATAACCATTTCATTAAACCGACAGGTGCCACGTCCCCATTCGGTAACGGTCATATCTATTCGGATATAACCGTGCCACACACTTAGTATGTGCGAGATCATTCTCTTATCCGATCATTCTCTCGCCAGCCATCCAGCTGACTCAACTAAATGACCAGCTAGCTTCACTACCCAACCAGCTAGTGATGATAGTTCCCGAGCTGACTCAATCGACCAACACTCCGTCCAGCTGGGCCGAGCTCACCATCAGTTGCCCGAGCTGATTTAGCTCGGTCCTTTAGCTAAGAATCCATCAGTTGCCCGAGCTGGTTTTAGCTCGATCATTTAGCTAAAATCCATCAGCTGCCCGAGCTGGTTTAGCTCGGTCCTTCAGCTCATTTTAGTTCGGGTATTTGATCTTAGCTCGGACTTGTTTATTCTAGCTGACTCAAAGCATCCCGAGCTAGTTTTGGAGCATCCCGAGCTAATTTTTCCCGACCTTCTTCAATCTTCTACTCTTTTCATCGGCTAAGTCCCTAACCTTCCCAGACTTAGCCATTCCTTTCAGACCATGAAACGGATTTCTTCGTTTTATTCTACAAGTCTTTCCCCATTCCCGACCATGGCCCAGCCCAGCAAACTTAGCGAGGTTCGGGGCCGTTACAACGCCCATATGCAGGAATATTTGGATATATGATAGTTACTACTCCATTAACAAGATAATAGAGGACTACAGGTAGCTAGACTAACTCTTTGTTCATATGTCTTAGAACATTGGTGTTGTTCTAATTTATCAGCTTTCTTGAAAGATATATATTTCAATGTATTTGCAGAAATGACTTTCACAAATTGAAAAAAAGATTTTAAGTTTGCAAAAAGAAGGAACATGGAGAGATATAACAAAGTTGTGGAATACTTGAATGAATCTTATTGCAAATATCAGTAGGTAATATTTGATATCTTTGTATTTTACACCTTTTTAGTACTCATACATGTTAGTTTTTAGCCTCATTCATACATTTATCCTTTATTTTTATTTTCATAAGCATTCATATTAGATTTAGCTACTACTACGTCATGTATTACATGTTTTTGCATATTTAGAGTGTTTGGCAGGCATAATGGTGTTATGGAGACTTTGAAGAGGTTATGTGATGATCCAAGAGGCAATCAAAGTCGAAAGATAGATAAGGAGAATGAAGAAGATGTCTTCTGCCGCAGCGGTCTATCATAGTGGTGTCACTCTGATGCAAACCTTCAGGGGAGATCACAGCAGTGAATTAGGAAAAACAATGCTCAAGGAACTCAGTAACTAATTCGAAGATCGCTTCCACGTGTAGTATTGAGACCCCATAATGTTTTTGTGTCTACTATATATTCAGATGTATATAACTAATTCGAAGATCGCTTCCACGTGTAGGATTGAAGAGGTAGGAAATTCGAAGATATGGCATTTGAAAATACCAACGAACGTTTTGTTGTTACAAACTCCAAGTGTCAAAAAAAACTTTAAAAAACATTAATGAGATTTTTTTATTCTTTTACTATTGGTCGATAATGAACACACATTGATTCACTTGTCTATCCTTTTATTTTTGATTGGTCGTTTTCCCACTTTGAATGTTTTGTATTGTGAAACATAAAATATAATTTTGGATTATAAACTATACTAGCACATTATAAGTAGATGTCTATATTATATTAAAAGAGAGACTAAAAAAAGCGAACAAGAGTTTTTAAGAAAACATTTCATTCATATTTTTATAATCTCATCTATTTTATTTAGTACAATAACCTATTTATAGGGAAAAGAACACACACAAAATATTGACATGTAAACAAGTGATTAGCAAACCATCTTTTTCTAATATAAGACAAGTGTTCATGACTAATACATTTAATGGTGATGTGTATTAGGATACATTGTTAAGATAAGTGATGATGATTAATCTACCAAAAGATGATGTGTGTTATGATGGATAATCATAACTATTTTCTTAACATTTTATTCTTGCTTTTACATATCAAATTTAGATTTTTCTGATTGTTACGTGCCCACTCTTTCAAATGTTCGACTGTCAGACCAAACAAGTCATTTAGTTTGGTGTCTTCAATGAGTGTGTGGATATTGAGAAGAAGTGACGACATTATTGAGAGGGAATCACTCAGCTTATGTGCAGCTTGTGTGCAGATTTGCTATTGATTCAAATTTAAACGGTTTCCATTTTAATTTCAAATTATAATCTGATGATGACTTCTTTATGTATGGCACAAACTTTCGAAGAAAGTGTTTATTGTTCCTCATGAAGAATTGGAGCATCTTCCGGCTGGATCTCAATCTATATATATCATGAATCAAACAACGACTATCATAATAAATCAAGCTATTAATAGATGCCAAAAGTCATATAGATCTGTCTACCTTCAGTCACCAGGGCGTCGATAAGTGGAAGAGAGATCCTCAAACTCGATTTGAAGAGAAGTCACTCTTTGATTTATGATACAAACACGGTCGATGATGATCATCTACTCGATTTTTTCCATAAATGATCCATATGTGCTAACAGAATAAAGAAAGTGTTAGCATAAATCCAAAAGCTATTTAAAAATATAATTAAAAAATAAACCGATAAAAAATATTTATGTTGAAAGAGTTCACGAGAATGCAACACGAAATGACAAAAACAATCTATATATAATATTGTAGTAAATCTTAAGTAAAAGTCCAATGTCAAAAAAAGTAATTTTAGTTTAACTTCCAAATAATGGTGAAATTAAAAAAAATAGAGTTAATAATCAAAAATTAGTTTGATATATATTACACATGTAAATTATAACCTTTTTGTCCTTGCAATTGGAACGCAATCAAACATATCATTATTATTAAGATACCTGAGAGAGGTTAATTCTACTTTTCTTGACGAAACGGTGAGTAGGGTGGAGAACCAATGCCTCTTTTCTAAACTAACACTCTACATTCACCGTAAAGAGGTTTTATTTTGTTGAATCAATTTTTGACAACAACAACAAAACCAAAAACTGAAGAAGATGAAGAAACAAATCGTTATAAAGCTTAGAACTTGGTTCTTTTTGCAGGACCTTGATCGATCATAGGATCGATTTGAGGCTGTTGAGACTCTCCTCCTTGTGTTCCAAGCTATTCCTTTTCTCCTAATGCTTCTTGGCTAACATATCTTGACGAAGTAAGTTATCTTAAGGGCAACAAAGAATAACTGATACACCAGTTACTTCATAAAGCCATAAACGTGTTCACCATTGGCCAATACGCACACTTGCATCTACAAACTCTGAAACTTACTCATAGAAGCAGAAAAGATTTACATTTCATATTTATATTTAGTAGAGATTTGAGAAGAGAAAAATGATTTTCCAGTTATTTGTGAAAGAGTTCATAAACGAATCAGATTCCATGATCAAAAGCTCTTACAGGAAACATAATATTACATGAAGCGTCCGAGGCCTTTTTTTATTATTATTATGACTGAGAGACTCAAATGTATGTAAGAAAGTAAATAAATATAAATCAAGAATGCAACCTTATGGCAATATACACATAAACACATCCACTGGTCTGACCACAAAAAGTGCCATCATCCTTCTCTTTAAAAACATTAAAATGAGACTGGTTTCTCATGCGGCCAGTTGAGAAACACGGCTTCATACACACAAAAAGATGTAAACTTGACAGTTTTGAAGCTATATTTCATGTCTTAATCGAGCTTCACGTTTGAATATAGGAGCGTGTCCTTTGTCAAAGGCATGTTCATGAGGAAGTACACCTGCGACGACCATGAGAAGCAAACAAAGAATGTCAACTTCCAAACATTCAGCTACAGATTTTTATACAAACTATGATGGTCCATTGATTAAAGTGAGGATAAAAAAAAAAGTGATCTTACCCCAAGGATAGTGGCAATGAGAAGGATTATTCCAGTCAACCATGCAAGTGTCAGCCTAACGAGTATAACTTGAGCAATGATGATTGGAGTTGGGATTCCCTCTACCTCAGCCATCGAGCGAGCAGATGAACGAGAAGAAGGCTCAACGCTCAGCATATTTCCTGATTCTTGATTTACTCTCTCGTCAAGGACGATCACCCCAACGATTTGGCCTGCAAGATCCCAAACATTTCTCTCAACTTACATAGAAACAGTAAAGGAAACGAAAACCACTCAAGAGGATCAAGTAAAAGTAGTATTTCTGTTAAGGAGATATCAGTCAAAGTTGAACTACTATCTAAGACACATCTTTGGAAGTGAGTTTACCAAATCACAGAGACAGTTCACCTTTATGAGATGTCTCCAATAGATCGAATAGCTTTGATAGTGTGGCAATCAATACATCCATCCCTTGCTTAGCCATACCTTGCCCATACTCCTGTGCTAAAGCCTGTAATTTCCAGATAAAGTAAATCATATTAGACACAGTGGCGTTAAGTAGAATAACAAGATGGTTGAACAATATGTAGACATTTTCAAAGTATGAATTTAAACAGTATTAAAGTATACAAGCTGTCAAGTTTAAAGATGATTTCGTCACGATCTGAGAACAAATCATTGAGAAGGCCTTCTTACTCCTGCTATCCGTAGGATACAAACAAGGAGAAATATAGCTTAAACGACTACATCCAACTCAAAACATTTCCACTTCTCCGAAACCTTATTATGATTCCGTTAGCTTCAAATTCTCTTTTGTCCTTAAAACAGCTAAGCACGGGAACAGAGTGCACAAGCAACAACCATTAAGGGGTCAACAGAAATGTCACAAGTTTTTTAAAGTTTAAAAGAGATGTATTTACTTATGCATTGATCTCTACTCTCCAATTCATATATCAAGACTAAGACACTGAGGAAAGGAAACGAAACATAACAAATGATAAATCAACCCCCTTACATCGATACCGCCAAAGCGTCCAACTGTTAATTCAGCAGTACCATGAGATAAATCCTCATGAACGTTGACTGCCTGTCTGATATTCTTGTACAGATCCAAAAGGTTCAACGCAAATTTCCTCTCTGCTTCCTGCCCACGGTAACAAAAGTCATAAGCCTTCCTCAAAAAGAAATCAGAATATCTACAACCAATTCCTGAACCTCATCCTACGAAATCACAATTTTTAATGGAATTAGGTATATCACCTTTTCCAAATGGAACTCCACGTTAGCAACACCAGTAAGAGGGATACTCAACAATCCAGTCAATGGTTCAGCAGAGCCAGAGACATATGATCCACCCAACCAAGATGCCTACAGATAATACAACCACACCATTAACTTAGTGGTCACATTAGAATGAGAAAGGCAAAACAATAGTGTGTGCACTTAGAATGATAGATACTGCTAACTTACAAACTCATTCATGTCTTTGTCAGTCGCATCAGATGAGGGTTCATTAAGAGACACAACAGCCACTTCACTTTCTGCAGAATTTTGAAAAGATCTAACAATATACTTTCAACACAAATGAAGAAAATTATAAAATAGTTCTGCTATTTAAGGGCACCTGGAAGTTCAATATCTGCTTTGTAAGAATCAGAACTGATACTGCCCCTGATGGCATTTCCCAAGAAAGAATGAGCAGAATAAGTTTCTGCAAGTTAAAAGTAAACACTTGAATGTCTTACGACTATTACAAAAAGACTCTGCTCCATGTCAGAAAATTAAAGCTTTTCAGTGTATTATTTGCATACCATCAGCTCCAGCGATTTCTAACACAAAAGCAGCACGAGGCCTCTCAAATGGATTAGGCTTTAGAATCCTGTTCAGCTATAACAAAAAAAAAAAAAGAGATGATCAACAATTACAAGACTTTAACTAAAAAAATTGAAAAAAGTATATTTTACTAGAAGGGTCAAAAACCTTGGATGAGCCATCAGCTGTCAAAGTTGCTGAAGGTGCAAAACCCAACAAGGCAGACACTGCTGCAGATACTTCAGAGATCGACATGGGAAGCGCCTGAGGATATTTTCAAATTAAAGAAAGAAGATAACTAAATCTGATTATGGAATCTCACATGTTGCAAATTTTCTCAATATAGTAGAAACAATGTGCCACAAAAGAACAGCAATCACCATTAGATTTCAGCTCAAAAACTCAAAAGAGATTCATTCATGAGTTGGTACATAAACATTCACACAAAAGAACTACCAACTCACAAAATTAAGTAGTAGTCAAACATGAATTTGGAATGTGATCTCTCCTCAAGAGCCCAAAAAAAAAAGACAAAACCAGAAGATATCACTTAGACCAAACAATTGATCTTATTGTATTGCTTCAATGAAACCGTGTCTGCGCCTAAGACATTGACCTGATCTACGCCTAAACGAAAGATCATATTTTATAAATGTCGAAAGACAACTCGCATCATTTCTAAATTGAAATACAAAAAATTGAGCTTTTCCGAATCGTTCATCCACATATCTGAGACGCAATCCCGAATCAAAGTCTAGAGGCAAGTGACAATACCTCTGATCGTGGACGAAGATATTGATTGCTGGATCCATCAATGAAGAAAACAGAACCAGTGGCTTCTCCCTATCACAAACGCCGATCCAATTTACAAAAAAAAAGTCAGATCCATAAGTCATAGATTTGTACACGCAATTCCGTGAGAAACAAACCAAAACTGAGAATTGGAAGAAAGAAAAAGACGAACCCTATAATTCTGGGTGAGAAGCAGCGAAACGAATAATACGTAGAAAGTTTTCATCTTTAGAACGAGAGTCGACGGGAAGAGAGAGAGAGAAGAGAGATCGGAGTTTATCTGGCGAGATGTTTAATGGAGGAGGCAGAACCAGATTTCGGGATCGAAGTGGTGGACACACCTTGACACCATACGGTGTCGTATCCTATACAGTCCAAATATCGGTCCAACCCGGTATTCAATCCGGTTAAGTTTTGCTTGTCTGGTGGTATTTTGTCACAATTTTACTTTTTGGCTTTACGGTTTACTGTATGTGTTTGTAATTGAAGACCGAATTGTGTGAATATCGTTCGGTTCGTTTTTAATACACGGTTTTGGTTTTAATTAGTATTCAAATTTATAGTTGGGATCTCATTATTCAGTTTTTGGGTTTTGGATTTTTCTTTTAATTTTATAAAGAAGAAGTCCAAATTAGAACCATATTTTATTTCGGTTTGGTTTGAGTATTTTGCATTCGTTTGGTTTGGCTTGGTTTTAGTTGGAGGATTAATGTTCAGCTTTACTTTTAGTTAAAAGTACAAGTACATATAGAATTAATTTTCATTTTTATATATTATTTAACGTGTTTTGTCGTGTTAGATTGCTATAATTTTGTTTTCGTTTGGTTTTGATAACCATTTAAGTTAAATTGAAGGAAATTTCGGCTCGGTTTGAATCAATTCGAAATTTCCTACGTTTTTACCTTTTTAGTTTTTACCACAGTACTCACTACTCAGTGAAAAGGTTTCGAACCCAGCACACCTGCCCTCTTATTTATAGAAAGAACAGCAGTCTATATAAAGGGGCAAAATCGTCAAATCACAAAACTGGTTCGTTTTAGAGAACTGAAACCCGAAATCAAAAACAACAACACACACCATTCCTCAGAGCGATCGGTGACGGCGACGATGGAGACGTAGCAAGAACGAAGATGGTGATGTAACAGCATGACCTCCTCGACATGAAACTCTACAAAAGGTTCACAGCTTCAAAGCTTCAGATCTATTTAAATTTTCCCTCTTCGTAGTCCCCTGGATCGATTTTAAAAAGCTGCGAAAACACCATTGTACGACTCGTACGCGGAAACTCGCTTGCCGGAAAACGAACGATTCGTCGGATGATTGACTCGTTGCTTCGAATTTGCAGCTGAGAGTGTCACTGCCTAGTGAAGAGGCATCAGAAGAGTCTTAAAAGAAGCTGAAGAGGAGAAAGAAAGAAAGAAGAGAAAATGCCGAGGCCTGGTCCAAGACCTTACGAGTGTGTAAAACGAGCTTGGCATAGCGATCGTCACCAACCTATAAGAGGCTCCATTATCCGTCAGATTTTCAGGTTTCCAACACGCACGCCTTTCTTCAACCTCCGTACTCTTTAGGGTTTCTAAGTTTGTTTCTTAATTTGGGGTTTTGGGTTTTTGAATTCAGGCTCGCCATGGAAGCACACAGTGCAGCGACGAGGAAGAACAAGGAGTGGCAGGAGAAGCTCCCTGTAGTTGTCTTGAAAGCTGAGGAAATCATGTACTCTAAAGCCAATTCAGAGGTTTTTTGAACTAGCTTTGCTCTTTGTATTTTGGGTTTTCGTTTTCACAAAGTCTTTTCCTTTTTGCCTGACTTTGGATTTGGTTTCCATTAGGAAGAGTATACAGATGCAGATACTATGTGGAATAGGGTTAATGATGCGATTGACACCATTATTAGGAGAGATGAAAGCACAGAGACTGGTCCTCTTTTGCCTCCTTGTGTTGAAGGTATTTGCCCTTTCTTCTTTATTTTTTGACTCTTTTAACTGTTTCAAAAGACTATGCATTGTTAGTGTTTTGGGAACTGCTTACAACAAGTTTAGTAAAGGTTTGGGATTTGAAGAAACTTGTTTTATTGAATTTTGTGTTTGAAATGTGGTTTTTTCAGCTGCTCTTAACCTGGGATGTATTGCTGTAAGAGCTTCAAGAAGCCAACGACATAGTAGCGTAAGGACTTACCTCGGTCCCAAAATCCAGGAATCGGTTTCTGCGTCACCTAATGAACCGTCGTACCATCATCATGACTATCATCATCATCAAGCTCAAAAGTCAGCCAAACCAAGCCATACCAGTCAAGCTTCAATCCCAGTGGATGTACTTGATGACAGCAGCAAGACTGTAGCTGCTCCTCCTCCTCGTGGTTACCCATTTCTACATGAATCTATGCAGATGCATCAGAAGCCATTAGCAAGAAAACTAGTGACTAGCACTTCTCCAGCTCCAGAACCAGCACCAGGTCCGATCAACTTTGGTTCGGTCTATCCTTTGTATTACGGAGGCAATAATAATCAGACTCAGCAAGTGGTTAGAGTCCCTGAAACGCCCATAATCATTGGCATGCCTGTTGGTATAAAGGCCCCTGAAGAAGCAACAGAGAGTCTCTGCGATTTATCATTGAGGCTTGGTATATCATCAGAACCACAACCCTCCTCGACAAGAATAGATATCGGGTCTAGTCGGGCTTACAGAGGAAGAAACCAAGAAGAGCTATGTTTATTCTCTGAGGTGAAGAAGAAGAATGATATGTTTGATTGGTTTTCAAATTATGAAGGTCAGAATTCAGATTCGAGAGTTAAAAAGCACAAAACGTTTTGTGGAGACTCCATCTAGGATTTGCTTAGATTTTTTTTTGCTTTTTTAACTCAAATCTTGTAAAAGCCTTCAGGTCTATTGGTTAATATTATTGAGTCTACTAGTCCAGCAAGATCGATTATTAAATCTACTTTGCATTGATGAACCAAAAAGATACTGAAGTTTCTCTGTTAACATCGATACCACTTATGCTCTATATTGCATGGACGGAAACGGTACAGAACGTTTCGAAATGCGGAAACGCTATTTACAAAAAATATAGAAATGGAAATGTTTTGGAAACTAATTATAAGTAGAATATTTAAATGAACAAAATCTAATATATAATTTTTACATAATTATTAAACGATAAAAATTAAAATATGTAAAGTTAAAAATTTAGAAGATTTTCTTTATTATCAATTTTATTAGTTTCATTAACCAATCTATCTCTAATTCTAATTCATCCAGAGAATAATTTTCAAACTTAATAATTTCAAAATTAATCTTAATTACCAAATCAAAATATTTATTATTTATTATAAATAAGTAAATTGATTATTTAATTTAATTTTTATAATTATTTATTTGTTCTATAAAAACAAAAAATTAGTTTTTATCTTCTTTCCAAAATAGAAACGCGTTTCCAAAGTGTTTCCAAATTAGAATTTTTAGGAAACGTGATTTTTCGTGTTTCCGACGAGTTTTGGAGAGTTTCAGTTTCCGAAACGTTTCGGAAGCAGGAAACGTACCTCGGACGGAGTTTCCATGCAACCTAGCTTATGCTTTTGTTAGTTACAGTTTCTTTAATACATTGATTGAACTTCATTCTCTATTGTGTGTGAGTTTGTTTCGAGAAAAAAAAAGCAGTTTAATCTGTTCACCTTTTCCACTTTAATTGCGTTTGAAAAATCAAAATACAATATATATATATATATATATTATGTTTAGGCTTACTAAGTAACCTTATTTAATACTACTATATTAGTTTTCTCAGATGTACCAAGGAGGAAATGAAAGAAAATAAGTTGATGTGTGTCGTTCTTTTTCTTTATCGATAAATAAAGGGAGATTTTGTTTAATATTTGACTTGTTTTGTTTTCAATTTTCATTTAACACAATCTTATAAACTGGAAAAACGACAATAAAAAAAAGTTGACGTCAAGCTTTCTTCTCAGCTCAAGTTGTTATTAATGACTTATGACTCAACCTAAACTTATCCGAACAGGATAATAGACTTATTCAACGTTTTCTATAGCTAGCCTACCCTTGATTTTATTTATAGTATTTTGGTAATTTAAATTTTTTAAAATAATTAGTTATTAAACTTTTAAAAACATGAGCTAATTTTTAAAATCATATCTATTACTAATAAAAGTTGATGCTAAATGCCTTTAAGGATGTCTACATAGAATTTAAATATTTAATTCTATTGGTACACATTATCATTATTTTTAGTTAATTATATATTGTATATTAAAATTAATTAGTTTGTTTTAATTCTTATAAAGAAAATTTCTAAATTTTAATTAATTTTGTTTTTGTTGTTATTGGGAAAGTTTCTAAATTGTAAGTTACTTATTAAAAAAAAGAGTTTTGAAAATAGATCTTATTTTTCTATTAACAATAAAAAATAAATTAAAAAATAAATAGATTATGAAAGAAAAATCTATTGAACAAAATTATTAAAAACTGTATTTAAAAACCATAATTAAATTATTTTAAAACTTAAATCACGAGAAACAATTAAAATCTGAAGTGCTAACTTAAAATATATTAGTTGTGGTCTGTGTTGATGTCTTAAGCCAATGAGAGCATCCGCATAGGACATATATACTCAGTCTGATTAGTCTATATCAGCGTTTTTCATTAAACATAAAAATAAAAAAATATTATTAAAAATTTAAATAATTTAAAACATACAAAAATATAAAATTATCACAATAGAATAGAAAATTAAGATAATTTTTTTAAACAAAATAAAATAAATTTATGTCAAAAGTCTAAATTTGTTGTGAAAATAAAATAGAAACTCATTGTCACAAAAACTAAACTAACAAAAACAAATATGTAAATCAATAACAAAAATTTTAAATTCAAAAAAATCTAGCATATATATTTTAAATGAGTAATTTATATAGAAAAAATATTAAGATTAAATTTTTATATAAACATATAAAATTGTTATTTAAAAATATCAATACTAACAAAAAAACATTCATCTTAAATTATCAAAAAAGAAAGTCATCTAAAACTTATAATTTTTGGGAAAATATTTAAAACATTAACACAAAAATCTTAACAAACCAAAAAATGATACTTTATGATAATTACTGAAAAAATCAATATAAAAAATTGTTTAACTAACAAAAACCAAAACATAAATTATTTTTTACAACATGTCAATACAATTAAAATGAAAGTCCATATCGAGAAAGTTAAATTAAAAAAAAAGAGGATATTAACTTAATATCTATGTTATTTATTTAACAAAATCAATATAAACATAATAAGTAAGAGAATAAAAAACTTAAAGAATACTAAAAAACTTATCTAACAAAAATAATATAATATTTAAGCTAATTATTTAAGAAATCAATATTAAGAAATTAATTAACTAAAAACTTAAAACAAAAATTAAGTTTTACAAAATATGTTTTTTTAAAAATACTTAAAAATATATTGACTTGATATCTGACTAACTACTTAAAAAAATTCATATAAAAATATTTCACTAACAAAAAATTTATGTCTTCAAAATATCAATATTTTAAAAATAATGGTGTGTTAAAATAAAATAAATATCAATATCAAGAGAGGTAAATTATCAAAGAAAAAATCGTATAAAGTAAAATTATCTTGATATTGAGGTTAACTACCAAACAAATATTAACTAAATAAAGCAAATGATGGTATAAGCTTTTGAGAGAAATTCACTTAAAATTTAGAATAACCAGTTATAACATATCAAAATATCATTTTAATTAATTTAAAAAGTAAATTTAACAAAGAAAAAGCATTTATGTAAAAGATATTAGATTAATATATATACTACCTATTTGAAAAATCAATAACAAAAGAGATTAATTAAAAATATATATGTTTTAAGTATATCAAACCTGCAGAAAATTAGATATTTAAAATAAAATATAAAATTACTATCGAAGATATTTAAAATAACAAAAAAAAAGATCTAAAAAGAAAATTAGTTTGAAATATAGTTCCAAAAACATTCATGATTTCTAAAATATTGGTGTTGACTATGAATAATCATATAAAGTTTTAATAGGTTACACAATTTCTAAATCAAACATATTATTTAAATTTACAAAGATTAATACCTTGGTTGCGCCTGGTTGAAAAATTAACAAAGTAAAATACTACACAAGTAACTTTATATTTAAAATACAATTGTTAGAGATGAGATCCGTACCGTCTCTAACAAGCCCGATACGAATTCTGGTCGGCCCGTCTAACAAGTTCCAGGTCGGTAACATAAAAGGAATCTTCCATTTATCGATCGACCCGGGGAAAAAAGAAACTCCTTGCCGACAAGAGTTTCATATTTCAAGCAGATTGAAGACCGACCTGATCGGCTATAAATGTAGGAAGTCCTCGACTTCTCAAATCATCCGAAAATCACTCCTCGAGACCTAAGACAGATTAAGCAATCTAATTATTCTTAGCTCTTGATTTACTTTCCTTAAAAGTCTAGGTCGGCATTCTTATTCCGACGACCTAAAACTATCTTGTATCTCTCAAGCTCCGGCTCAATTCTAATAAAGATCTCTCTTTAAACCCACAAACTCTTGTTCAGTCTTTAGATCGAATTTGAGTTTTTAGAGTTGGCGCCGTCTGAGGGGAATAAAAGAGTAATCTTTGACTTAGAACGGAGTTTGAAGATGGTTCAAACACCAATCAACACTACCGACCTCACAGGAGCCCCCGATCCGACAAGAAACATTCAGGATCCGATCATCGACCTAGCCACAGGGCTTCCGGTGGCCCACCAGACCGATCAGGAAGACAACACAACTACCATACAGAACACCGGGGGAACAGACCAGCTCGGTCAGTCGGGTGGCACAAACACGACCAGCCTACCACAGCCACCTCCCATCGACATGACCACGATCAACAGGGGATGGATGCTCGCTTCGAGTCCCTCCGTGCCGAGCAGATAGCTCACAGAGAAGACTTGGATCGGCTTATAAACTCTAGGGTTCATACCCAAGAGCAGGCCGATTTTATCACTCCCCCTCGCCCTTCGATCCGCAACACAGATACGACCAGGCTGGTCAACAACTTGTTTGGCACGACACCGACGGACGATTTACGGAGAGCACAGGCAGACGGCTCGCATGCCCGCTCATCTCGCAATATCGCAGGAACCGACCCGACGACAACCTCGGAACTCGATCTGCTCCACCAACGCCTTGATGATATCCACAGCAAGATCCACAAGGCGACGACTTCAGCGCCCGAGTTGGATAAGATCCTTCAGGAGACACAGCAAACCCCGTTCACGTCGGCTATCACCAATGCTCCTCTTAAGGACATAGGTCGGATGAAGCTACCTCCGAGTTACTCTGGTACGACAGACCCGAAGCGACACCTGACCGCGTTCAACGCAGTCATGGGACGTGCTCGCTTCACCGATGAGGAACGGGAAGCATGCCTCTGTCAATACTTTGTGGAGACGCTCTCCGGGAGCGCCCTCACTTGGTTCTCACAGCTTCCCAAGAACTCCATCGACAGCTTCAAGGAGCTCACAGCTCGGTTCCTGAAGCATTATTCGATTTACATCGACACGGAGTCCACAGCGCTCGATCTATGGGCATGCGTCCAGGGCGACACGGAACCGCTGCGCGATTTTATCGATCGATTCCGATCAATCGTCTCTCAGTGCAGTCTGTCGGACGAACTGTGTTTCAATATTCTTATCAAGAATTTGAAGGATGATTCATCGTTTTGTGAACGATTGAAGACAGGAAAAACCAAAACCCTCGAAGATGCTTTGCACAAGGCATCCGGGTACATCAGAGTCGAGGAGGACCGTGCAGCCAAGGCCAAGGCCAAGTTGGCCGATGAGAAATCTTTGCGCGACAAAAAACGCAGATCGTCGAGTCAGAAAGATTACAAAGAGCCCCGTCAGCACTACGACAAGGATGACAAAAATCGCAAAAGCATCAACGCAGTTGG